AACAGCTCGAGGTATTGTTCAGATGAAGTGTAAAATTCCAATGACATATGATGAGGTAACAATGATAAGTACATATATAAACTATTTCTTCCTTTTATCAAGTATTTTTATCTTCGATTCTATAATTAATGTTGTTCTATATAACAATATGTGTATATATATATATATTTTTTTTTTTTAACAGAGCATGCATGTAAAGATATACATATGATGCGATTTGATTACTATGCAGAGTATAGCAGATTCGATTTTAAGGAGGGCTGGCGTCCCCGTAAAGGCCAATTACTTGAGTGAACGACTTGTTGCATCAAGGAATACAGAAAGGAATGCTAAAAAAGCAGCCAACACACTGATGCTTGCGGCCATATTGATAGCCACAGTGACATTTGCAGCTGGTATCACAGTGCCAGGTGGGTTTAACTCTTCTGAGTACTCAAAGCCAAAAGAAAGAGGCAAGGCAGTTTTGAACAATGATTCTTTTTCAAGGTGTTCATTGCTTGGGACACGATTGCTATGTATAGCTCATTCCTCGGAGTTGTTATTCTTATATTCGTCCCACTGAATGATCGTCGTTCTGCAGAAGGAATGTATAAGGCTGCTTCGTTTTTAGTTTGTTTGGCTATAATAGCCATGACCGTCGCATTTCTATTTGCTTTAATGACGATTTTGGAAGGTTATCTTCTATATATTGCATATGTTATTGGAATCATCGCCTATCCTTTAATCGTGTCAACTTACGTCACAGGACTGCGTCCAATGAAAACTATTTTCTGGACCAGAAGACTGATTATTTTTTTATTTTATGGTTGGGATGATGATTTGATCGGCGATCCAGTCGGTGGAAAAGTCAACCAAGGGGATCAAGGTGATGTAGGAAATCAGATTAGTGAAACTCATGAGCCACATATCTTGTAAATTCTCTAGCAGTTTTGGCATCTATCAAGATCGGACATATGTTTGGTTCCCAGTGAAACCGGTCGAGCCGGCTAGTTTGTTCCAATTCTAATAACAATATAACATTGATAATTAGTGCCGGCATTAATTCCTAACACTCTTTCCATGGTTCCCATTCTTTATTATGTGTGACCAAAGCAGCGGTATTAATTCCTGGTTCATTGAGTTGAAAATCTTTCAAGCTCATCATTCATTACCTTATCCTTCTATACATGTTAGATATTGTTATTGCAAAATTTTTAATTTTATTTGTTGGCTTGTTTTAATTAAATAACTTGGACCACGCTTGGGATTTTGACGTAATTTTTTGAAAGTAAAAACCAATTTATTCATGTAGTAAAACTTACTATACTTTTTTCGAACCACAATATAATATATCTTCTACGAGCTTTACTTAATTCAAAATATAAAATATTAAATAATTTTTAAATTTATTTTTTTTAAATATACCTCTATTTTATTTATTACTCTTTTTTAAAAAAATCATGCATTCAAATTTTAATTATTATGATTGAAGCTCTTATATAGGGCATTTAATGAAAAGACGTGAAAATTTTTAAAACTTTAAGATTTCAACTAATATTATTTATAAATTGTGAATTAATTAATTATGACTTATATTGTATATATGGAGGGATATATATTATATTTAGGGAGACTAACAATTAGATCTCAAAAAATTGAATTAATGACACTAGATCCCTAACAAAATTTTCTAAAAAATGAACTGTAAATACAAATTCAAGCAATTATTAACAAAAATTTCTGTTACAATTTAAGAGTTACATTTAATATTTAAATACTTATTTACAATTGAAACTCCTATATTTATAATTATTTGTATCAATATTTTTAACTTATTTGTCAAAAAAAATTGAAAACTTAACTATTATTAATTTAATATTTTAGGACCTAACTATCATTCTCCACACACACATATATTGGCAACATTTAAATCAGACCCATTTGAGAAAATAACCATTATGAACCTTGTTAAAGAATTAATCATAATTGAAGATCTCAAATCATAAAAATGTTGTGAAAGTACCATGATCTTTATTTGCAATTAAAAAATAAATAATTATTAAAATAATCAATAGAATGTGACTTGTGATTATGAATTTAAATATAGTAGTAAATTTAAGAAATATTATTTATGAATTAATGAAAAGTCAATTGTGAATAATTATTCTTCATTCCAAATTTTATTGAACTAAATTTAAATATAAATAATTAAAATTTGTTATTGGTAATAATAAACAAGAGAACAACTAGAAAGTTCAGCTGGAGCTCTAGTTCGTTTTGTTCATGTACATAGTGTCCATGTCTTGATCCGGATATGAATCATGTGCGATAATAAAGCGTGCAGAACCGTGAATTTTGATCTCATGGCTGATGAGAGATAAAGTAATAAAAAAGCTCCTCATTTGCAAAACACACAATCACATTTTATTCAAAATAAAAATTTAAAAAAAATATAATATTTTTAATCAATGTGTTAATCACTAATTTGGACAAAACATATTTTATCTGGATGGTTCAGTTTAATATTATTTTTTTATAAATCAACTATCTAGATGTATTCTAAACAATTTAGATTTGAATATTAAATTTTTTATAATCTTTATAAATTTTTACTTTGATAAATAAAATATTACAAATAAAGATAATATTTCTAGCACTCTCCAAAAAATATTTTTAAAAAAATTACAAGTTAAAAATTTTAAATATGAATCAAAATCAAATTTAAATTGTTCAAAGTACATTTGAATAATTAATTTATAAAAAATAAAAATAATATTAAATTGGATCATCCAGATAAAATCTGTATTATCTAAATTAGTAATTAATAGATTTATTAAAAATATTATATTTTTTATAAATTTTTATTTTGAATAAAATGTAATTGTGTGTTTTGCAAATGATGAGCCTTTTAATACACCTATCTCTTACCAGCCGTTAGATCAAAATTTACGGTCAGGATGTTTTACTTTCCAACCACTGCGCGCTTTATTACGGCACATAATCCATATCCATCTTGATCCAAGCATATTCTGTGATTCACGATGCCTCTGAAGCAAAATAAATAAGGTGGGACCTCATTTATATAATTTAATCGAGAACTTAATTCCAACCACAAAAGGCAAACATCTTCTACGCTCAAGCATGATCCTGAATGTCAGAACCAACTGTCACGGCAAAATGTCCAAGATCAGTCTGATTTTTTTTTTTTTTTAAGTGCAAGATCTATGTATTGTGAATTGTCATGTATTCTACAACTGACCAATCCAGGATTTTCAATTCACTGGCCCACATTCAAGGGAAAAGCTTGTACATGAAGCATTTGGGATACTTACGAACCTAAAATAATGGATTGCTTACATTTCATCTTTTGTCAAACTGCAGAGACGCAAATGGATTAAACTGTTTTTTTTTTTTTTTTTTGAGTAACTTTATTCAAAAGCTAAGAGAGAATACTAGGATAATGTTCTTCATTCATTAGGGATACTATGCATGGATCATACCAGTCCCGCTGAGTGATATTCGTTCTGCAGAAGGAATGTATAAGGCTTATACTTGGTTTCTGTTTATATTGCCATGATAGCCATGGCCAACGCATTTCTACTTCGTATAACTTTGATTATGGACATTGATAATTGGATAAAGGTGCATTTTTACTTCAAATATTCTCCAAAAAACACACAACATTCTAAATTGTTAGCTGTAACAATTTTGCCTTTAAAATATTAAAACAAAATATTTTTGTCATTGCCACTAAATTCTTTAATGATCAATGTTAGAGTCCTAGTTAATATATATATATATTTTTTTAACAATCAACATTAAGAATTTGATATCAAGGGCAAAAATGTTTCCTTTTAATAATTTTAAGAGAAAATTGTTGTGACCACTAATTTAAAAAGTTAGGTGCTCTACTTTCTAATAGTCAATGTTAAAGTTTCAGTTAACATTTTTTTAACAGTCAACATTAAGAATTTGATATCAAAAATAAAAATACTCTATTTTAATAACTTTAAGAGGAAAATTGCTTTGCCCACAAGTTTATAATGTTGGATGCTCCTCAAAATATACTTTAGAAGCAAAAATACACATTTACCCTTAATAATTTCCTTGATATTATGTCATCATATCAACCCACGTATCAGGAACGCTTCCGTCTAAATATTCTGTTTCTTCCTCTTTTATCTTGAAACTATTTCTTGTTTTACATTATGGTGGAAAAATAATTTGATTCGTGATCCAGTTAGTGAAGTCCACCAAGTGGATCAAGGTAATACAGGAAATAAGATTAAGGAAACTCATGAGCCAGACGTCTTGTAAATTGTTCATTTCCAATGTATTTTTATTTGTTCCATTATTATGGTAGAATGTCAATGGATAATTGCCCTAGGGCAAAACTACCTTCCCTTAGAAAAAGTTAAGTTCGAACTCAATGTTCACATGCTTATGTGAATACATGATGCATGCATGTTTCTTTTTTTATGGGTTAGTGCTAGGTTAGGAATAAAATTTAAAAAAAAAAATTGTATGGTAGAATAAGAGATATGGAGCAGCATGTGCTGTAAACATTTTCAGATCATTTATTTTCTTGTATCTTTTGAGTGAAACATTTCTTTACATTTTATTTTCTTTTTATATTGTTAACAAAGCCATTTATTTTTTAGACGCATTTATTCAATTTATAATTTTTGAATCTGATTATCTTAGTTATTTTTATATTAGCATGATTTATGAATGACAAGCGTCTTGTCAAGTTTAAGATTTTGCATAGGAAATATGACAATTCTTTTAAGACAAACCTATATTCTATATAAAATAAGAACATACACAAGCACCCATGCTGAAATATTAAAATAAGAATACAGAAGCACTCATGATGAAATATTATGCTTCCACATATGATCCTTGAATTTCTCAAGTTAAGTAAGCGACGTGAATGAATAAATTTGGTTTGACTCTTCCAATTGACATCAATTATCAATAATTGATATTAATTAATTAATTAATTATGGCAGTCATCCAACTACAAAAGGCAAATGAGATGTTCTTGATTTCGATTTGTACAATATAGCATAATAACATAATCAAAATCTTGTACTCAGGCACCACTGGAATTACGACAGTCATCCAACTACAAAAGGCAAATGAGAAATAGAACATTTGTGCTCAGGCATGATCCTGAATTTCAGTACCAACCGTACACAGAAAAATGTCCAAGATCTGTCTGATTTTTTAAAAAAATAAAAAAGGTCCAACTTCTGGGTACAGTAAATTCTCGTGTATTCTACAACTGATCAATCCAGGGTTTTCAGTTCACTAGCCCGCATTTAAGGGAAAAGCTTGAACATGAAGCATTAGGGATACTTACAAACCTAAAATAATGGATTGCGTTTCATTTTTTGTCAAACTGTAGAAACGTAAATGGATTAAACTGCTTTTTGAGTAACTTTATTCAAAAGAGGGAATACTAGGATGATGTTTTTCATTTCTAAGTTTGGTTCATTAAAAGAAAATTGGGACATTGGATTAGGACAAACAGAATTTGGTGTAGTGATTTGTGACAGAATCAAGCTACTTGATAGGGGAGAGTTTAGGGTGAATCAAACATTTGTTTATACCTTTAACCATGCACCCACATGGGATCCAGAGAGATAGGCTTCTCACTTCTTATCCCAGAAGTCCTAGCTGGAGGTGCATGCACTGTGATCGGAAGAATCCATTCACATTTTTCTCTTCCCTCAATCAGAAGAGGATGTTCATACCTGAGGTTCAGAAAACATATGGCTTAGAATATAATCAACGGCCGCTTAAAAGCAAAAAGCTGTATGTAATTCAAAATTATGAGATGATTTGAAACAAATATTTCTATTAAACCCTTTCATTTCATTCCATAAGATACCAGAAGAGGTCCTCCAGTGAATTAGGTATTCCGCACCTAATCGACAAACATTTTTTCATTCGTAAGCATTGAGCGAGCCACCCTCAGGGTAATCAACTTATCAAACAACGCACGATGGAAAGCCATTTTTTTATAAAAATATCCTTCCACACCTTGTTTCGACAAGACGCAAAGTAGTTTCCTGCCCGCCACACATCCTTGTTAGCCAGGAAAACAAGATTCGAAATCTTTCCTGTCAGCTAGCCACCCTTGCAACCAATCTAAAAGCAGCGTTTTCTTGCCAACTGGACCAAGTCAGTAAATACATTGTAGAAAGCCTTAAGCCTGCTATCAAGAAGGAAAGATGCCTCTCGCCTTCGCTCGAGGTACAAGTAACCTTTCACCTGAACTCTTACTTCTCACTCTCTTAGGGTTCAATAAGAAAACAGTCTCTGGTCGCTCAGGACCCCCCCTGCAAGGTAATGGATGCGTGACTACACGCAACCATTTTCTTGCTGGGCACGAGTCAAATAAATAAAAAACACAAAACACAAAACAAAAAAGGCTGCCACTTTTGCAGGTGGGTTGGATTTTCCAACCCATTCCTTTGCGGGCTAGCCCAACCTAGCCCACAAATTGACTAGCCATTCCCAGTACTATATAATCATATAGTAAATTGATGGAGGTTTAAACACAGGCTTCTGTATTTCTGTCATCTCAAGTTTCGTCTTCCCCTCATCGTTATTAGTCTCCTTTTCCCTCAAGTTAGGACACTTTCTGTAGGACGGAATCGCAGAGACTTGATGACTTTCTATACTCTTGTGTATGTGCATTGTGCCACTTTTCTACTTGTGATGGACAAGAGAAGTGAGAAATACTCTCAAATTCATATTGCTATTTCTATTGAAAGTTATCAATACACTATGGATGTATTGTAAGTTGTGTTTTAATATTAGTTTAAACCGTCGTGTGTGGACATGTCTTTTTATTGTTTCCACTTTCCAATGAATATTGCACCAACAAAGTTGGCATGCGCTGGTACCAGAAGCCATACCATATCACAATGGTGCACCGGACATTGCCAACAACTATCTATTATTTTGCCAGGCATTAAGGACATTGATCACAAAATGTGAAAATTTGCTATAACACGTGGCGGCTTGACATTACATGAGCATAACGCCTAGACTAACTGATGACCAATGGATCCAGCCATAGAGACAAGTGAAAGTATGAATAGAAGATGCCAAAAATCTAAACACTAGATGCTTTAAGGAATAGAAACTTGTGATGTAGGACCAAGAAAAAAAGTCAAGGGTGAAATTCATACTTGGTCCAATCCAAATTCTTTGGAGTAGCATAAAATTCAAATCTAAGAACCCATTGCACAGACACACGAGGAGTGGAGAAAGACATTGGACCATCCATAGGGATAGAAAAAAGAAAGCTTGTTTGCACCAAATCCGCAACAACTTCATAATGGTCACTCTGGACCTAGAAAAACAAGTGAGAACAAGAGTATCAGAAGCCAACATTTTAGCATTTTACATGGAAAGAACTTCATGGTGGTATCATGAGTTAGCTCTAACAAAATGAAACTTAAAATATCCCAGTGTATTCCCAACAAAGATATTAGTTCTTTCACCGCGAAGAAAAGATAAGAATTAAAAAAAAAAACTACTAAATGAACAAATTTTTCAGCCTAGCCAACAAGGAGATCAGCTTCAACAAAAAAAATTCCAATTGCTCCTGACAAAAGACAGTGACCCTAATTAAAAAAAAAAGGGAAATTAATTTACAAGTCCTATTTTTTTTTTCAATTTTGAATTAGATCCCTGTAGTCTATTTTATTTTAATCAAATCCTTATAGTTTGATCGATTAAATATTATATTCCTAAAGGTTAAAATTATTAATTAATGATTGAATTTTTTAAAATAGAAACACTTTTAAAAATTATAGAAAATTTAATTTAATACTTTTAGCCAAAAAAAATAATTTCATAAAATATTTATATTTTTATTAAATTTTTATATGAAAATTCTATATGTACCAAAGTTATTTAGAAAACATAACCTAATTATATGAATTTTGAGTTACAAAAATTATGTAATTAATTCTAAAATTATATAATGTTTAAATAAATATATAAAGTCCTTAATTTCATTTTTTCAAAAGGTAAGATCAAAGGATTTTAAAAACCAAGAACTAACATATTTAATCAATTAAACTATAAGGGCTTAATTAAAACAAATAAATTACAGGGATTAATTCAAAATTAAGTAAAACTATAAAGACTTATAGATTACTTTTCCAAAAAAAAAAAATACAAAATCCAACCATCCTCCAAGAAAATAATGAAATCCTCAAGGCTATGGAAACCTCAAGAATAGGAAATTTAAAATTGCAGTTTGTCAACTAAATTGTAGAAGCTATTTGTAGTCCAGGTTGCGAAAAATGAATACCTTAGTGATTGTTGGCGAATGCTTTCTAGAAGGGTGGACAAATCTCCGATTTATAGTTTCTGAAGTTTCTAGTGTTATTGAGACCTGCATAAGCATATAGAAGAGTGTTTGGGAAAAAAATATGAAGAACACTCAGTTCTTAAGCATCATCATCAACAGACTCAGTCTAAATCTCCAGAGTTTGTAGAAAAACCTCAAGGCATCTCCTAGCTCTCTCTTCATGAAAGAAAGTTAGAGTCCCACCAATCTGTAACATGAAATTGTTCAAGATTTGGTAATCATAAAGTCTGCTTCAACAAAATTGATATCAAATTACACATAATTTTGATGTCGATTACCATATCACTGAAATAATAAGTGGAGTCAGAATTTTTTGGGGAAAATTTAAGCAGAACTTGGTCGTCCAGCCTGATGTTATATGACCTTCCTCTAATGAAGCCTTCTGCTGCAGAAAATGTTTAAACAAAATTAGCTGACCAAATAGTTGTTACATCTCAAAGCAGAACGCTGACATTTTTAAATAGGAATAATGTGTTTTTAAAATGTAAAAGCATTTCGACATGCATATTTCACATGCAAAATTAAGTCAAGCAAAAGTGATAAACATTAATGAAGGACATTAGGAAAAACATAATCTTTAATCTCTATAGTTTCATCAGATTTTGCTTTTAATTCCTATAGTTTTTTTCCAATGCTTTCAGTCCTTATAGGGGTTAAAAATACTGAAAAAACTGAAACTATAAGAACCTAAAAAACAAACATCACCTAATCTTTCTGAAACTATAGGGACTAAAAGCAAAACTTGATAAAACTATAGCCATATACCTAAACGACAAAATTACACAGTAACATTAAAATTGTCACATGGATTTAAAAATAATATAATTCACTATTGAACATTAATTTAAATTAAGTTACAGTTCCATTCCTTTTCTAATAAAGGTACTTAAAACTCATTCTCATTCTGTTTCTAATTCCATTTCCATCCGCTTTTAGCAAACCAAACGGAGCCTTGACCTCCCTGCTGACCAAGAGACACTTTACAAATTCTTGCCTAATTAATAAATTCGACGTCCTCAATATCCTCAAACTCTTTATAATCCTATCTAAAAATCCCAAAACACTCCCTTCCCAACAAAGTCCCACACTCCCAAAATTGTTTCAATCTAACATTCCCCATTTCCACAAAAGTTCCCCAATTCCATCTCAAGTCTTTCTAAAAATTATTGCCTAAAAGTTCAATCCTGCAAATCTTTGCTCGATCCAAAAATTATTGCCTAAAAGTTCAATCCAGCATCCACAAATTCCAGCCTCATCTCCATGCTTTTATTTCAAAGATTTTTCTGGATGAAATTGGATAATTTTGCAGAAAGCAGCTGGGCCTTAAGGTTTTTAATATAGCAATAATAATTAACTCATCTGATGCACAGGACACTCTAGCACAAATGGAGAAAACATCAGCATAGGAGAATATTAACTTTTAAATCAAAGGGCATCAAAGGGAATGAAATCAAAACCATAGGTTGTAGCAAGATGATTTTTTACATTAAAAATGTAAAACTGAGTAACCAATAAATTTCACACTCACAAAGTGCAGCAACAACAACAACAACAAGCCTTTATCCTACTAGGTGGGGTCGGCTACATGGATTGCAAGACGCCATTGTGCTCTATCATTTATCAAGCTTTTAAGAATATTATTAATTAAAAGATCACGTTCAATAACTTCTAAGAGTGTTCTCTTAGGCCTTCCTCTACCCCTCTTAATCGGACTCAAAGTTATATGTTCCACTCTTCTCACTGGTGCCTCCCTTGGTCTTCTTTGTACATGCCCAAACCATCTCAATCAATTTTCTACCATTTTTTCCTCAATAGGTGCTACCCTCACTTTTTTGCATACGTGCTCATTTCGAATTTTATCTTTACGTGTATGTCCGCACATCCATCGTAACATTCTCATCTCTGCCACTCCAACTTTATGCTCTTGCTGTCCCGTTAGAGCCCATCATTCACTACTATATAACATTGCCGGTCTGATAGCAGTGCGATAAAACTTTCCTTTAAGTTTATTAGGCACCTTACGATCGCAAATAACTCCTTTAGCTTTTCTCCAATTAAACCACCCAGCTTGAATCCTATGTGAAATATCTCCACTGATTTTGCCATCATGTTGAATAATGACTCCCAAATATCTAAACTTTTCCACTTGAGGTATAATTTGATCTCCCAATTTCACTTCCAAATTATTGTCGAATAGTCTTTTACCAAATTTACAATATAAATATTCCGTCTTACTCCTACTCAGAGGGAAACCTTTCGACTCTAATGTCCTCCTCCATAACTCAAGTTTGCAATTAACCTCTTTTTTTGTCTCTACTATAAGAACTATGTCATCCGCAAAGAGCATACATTTGGGAATTTCCCCTTGAATATGTTCTGTCAAAACATTTAGGATCAAGTTGAACATATAAGGACTCAGAGATGATCCCTGATGTAGTCCAATCTTTATAGGAAAATCCTTTGTTTGACCACTAGGCGTTCTTATACTAGTTTTTACCCCCTCATACACTCACAAAGTGCAACACCAGAACAAAATGCATTTTCCACAAGCATAGATCACTGAAATTGATGGGACCCAATTCTACAACAATTCCAGGTATTCCATGATTTACAGATAGAATATAATGTTTGAAATTTCAATTGGTATTGAACCACACTACCCAAACTATGAATGATCAAGTTCAAAACACCATGCTACATCAAATAAAGCACTGTGAAACATAAAAAAATATTATTGGAAAACAAAAACCAATGCAAGGAAAATTTACATGAAGAGTTATTGGCTGCTGCTTCTGGTGAAGAGGAAACTCCTGCATCATCCTCAGCAGAAAAAGGATTTCTGAACTTCTGTCGGTGACTTGGGGAGACGATTGACAATGACTTCTGAGGTGATAAGACATCTGTTTGCAAGAATGAATTGTAATTTGGAAAAGCAGACCTTCTGACTCAATGCAAGAGAAAAAGATGACTCTCATCAAGTATACTAAGAAAGAACATAGTTTCAGTGTGTTTCAGGACTAAACCTATTCAAAGAAAAAGAACAAGTTTAATTGGAAAAGTGATTTGCAGACTTTTATATAGCTCACCAGAAGCAGAATCATATAAAACCTCAGCCACAGAGAGTCGAGGAAGTGCCATTTGTGAAGATAAACTCATCCGAGAACCTTCCAAAGGATCCCTGCTTAAAGATCTTGCTGAAGAGGATCGCAATGATAGTGAACTTCCAAAGCTTCTGTGCAGATTATCTTTCACTGGGTTGTATGAGGAAACAGAGGAAACTTCATCCCTTGAGCTGTCATATCCTTCCTCTAAAGCATCATTAATATCATTTGCTCTAACCTGTAAAAAGGGGTTTATTTTTACATGATATCATTGAGCAAATGAAAGAGAAAGAGTGCCCCGTATTAAGATCTTCTTCACACAAAAAATATACCTAATGATGGCTTAAAAAGTGCAACAAAATTGAGAAACTCATAATCTCCTGAAAAGGATTTTAAAGCCAAGACTGAATTGAATGCCTTTAGGGAAGGTGAAGTTAACATTATTCCGGAGTGAAGAAAGCTTGGGGGAAAATAGGGTGGGAATTATGCTGGCAGAAAGTTCAGAAAAAAGAAAGAAACAAAAGAAACAGGGCTGAGAGATACGGTCAAACTCAGGGTGTTTTAACCTTGGCTTCTAAACCTCCTATTTTTTGGTCAGACACGCAGATGATGGGAATGATTAGGGAAAAAAAACAAGAACAATGAAATCAATCAAGATCTTATTTGATCCAATCTCCTAAATTCTGTTTTACTTAAAATTGTCCCGAACAGCTTAGTTGTGATATCCCTAGTTTTATACAGCTTATGGTTTTGTTAGTTTACAAAGCATAAATTTAATGATAAATAATCGTCATAAAACTTGAATATTTTTCATAAATTTTGTTTAATTTTGAATTTATTTTATTATCAGCAACTTTAGTACATTTTAGAAAATTTATATGCTAATTAAGGTCATGAAATTAGTAAATTATAATATTTTTAGGAGAAAACTATATTTTGATGGTTTTGTTAATTGTAATTTTAATCTATCATACAAATTTTGATTTGACATTAATGATCTTTCCAATAAATATATGGGAGGAACCCTCATGAGAGGCTGAAGGGATGAGCTAGAAAAGATAAGAGATAAGGGAAAAAAATTAAATTTCAAAACTTCAGGTGCCAATTTGAAAACTTGACTGAGACATCAATTTCTTCATCCACATTATTCTTCCCCATTTTCTGCCCATTGAGGGCAGCATCTCCACCATTCTACAATTTAGCAGTGACAACGAAAAAGAATAAACTATTTCATCCACAGGATCCTACCTCACTACACAAGTTATTTCATCACCAAACCCTCTTGCAAACACGCCACCTCAACAAATAGGACAGTTGAGGTAAAAAAAAAAAATAGACATATCCTTGACATTAACATAGCTCATATGTTATCCATGAATGTGCCTCACCAAATTTATGGAGAGTAATATTGGCCCTAAAATTGAAGTAGCAAACCATCTCTTGGAAACAAGAATGAATCACATGGAAATACCTGTACCCCTGAAAATGACCAATCTATGCAGGAATGTTATGCATTCTACTTCCTCAAGAAAGAACAATGGTGATGTAGCTGCCACACTATTCCTTAAAGAATATCAAGATATCATTATCCAGACAAAGAATTGATGAAAGCCTATACTTAAACTGTCCTAGACT